ATGATGGCCACTGGGAAGCAGGGGGAGGGAGGAAGAGAGCAGAGTGTCTGGATCCCCTTCCGGAGCATCTTCTAATGACTGCAGGCGTCTCTCTACACTCCATTCACGAAGATTTCAAGGCCTGAGCACCCAGATTTTAACCTATGATTAATTAGGAGAACTTATGATAATTTGGGAGAACTGGAAGGAGATCTGGAAGATAATTTGGATGGATTTAGGCTTCAAGTAGAAAAAAATTCTCATTCTCAGACCTCGTAGGTCCAGGAGGATAATGAAGTATTTTTTGGACAGGATTTCTCCCAGTAGGAAGAGACAGGCACAATGAAAATTTGATACATTTTATGTGAAATAGGAAAGAGGCTCTAAAGAAATATATATGATATTTTGGACCCTACACCGGCCTTTTAAAGATGTTCAGAAAATCAAAATGAAAAACACTAAGACAATCAGAATTGAGGAAAAAGGTATGCTAATAACCTATAGGAAAAGGCAAGGACTGGGAAGAAATGTGTGCTCCAAGTTGATGTTCAAAGATCACACATGTCCAAGAGTCACTGAACACTCAAGACAGGAAGAGCCGAGCTGTTGACCTGCCATCCCCGTCCCTGACAGCATCAGTGCTGCACAACAGACTGATGTGTGGTGTAGCTTTGGTGGAAGGCATGCACGGTCTCCATGAGGACATTAGCATGGATACCAGCCATCACGGCTTATCCAGCTAGTGTTGCTGTCACATGGATAACATGGGAGGAAGCAGACCTCGTGCAGAATCTCCAACACGGCACTATTTCTCCTGGAGACAACCCAGCCTTCCATGGATGACTGTATCACAGAGGGGGCAGAGATTCTTTTTATTTGAAATCATAAGATATGAGTCCCAATACCTTGTTTGTAAAGCCATGACTGGCACTTCTAAAAATTTTTCAAGGGAACTGCATTCATGAATTAACTGTTTTATAAGATCCCTGGAGCTCAGGTGGGAAAGCAAAATGTCTTCGTGGTCCATTTCTGCTGAGTTCACACCTCAAGGGCTGTGGAAACAAGCAAGAGGAACTTCAGAACACAAATGTTCTTAGAGATCTTCACGCTGAAAGATTGGATGTAACCATCAGCACCGAGTCCTGCTGTGGCCTGAGCGGGTGGCAGTAGGGACATAGAACAGACAATGCTCCAAACTGGGCAGGCTGAGGCGAGGTGCAGAGGAGACCAGCCAAAGGGGGCACAACAAAGTGAAAAAGAATCCTTCAGTCAGTACAGATGATTCAGTGATTGGGCCATCACCTCCCTTTCACACAGCGGAGGAGATCTCAAGTGTCATAGAAATAGCAGCTGTGCTCGGGAACCAGATCAGTATAGGCAGTAAGAAGGAAACCCTGCAGGCCACAGTGGGCCGGCCCTGATCAGGGACCGCAAGGTTCAGAATCAGCTTGTTCCGTCAAAGTGAGCTACATGCATGGCTGAACCTTCTAGGTGTGCAAATGCAGAGGTCTGTGTGCCCTGTGGCCACAGTGTGAGGATTACTCCAGGGATCCTGCTCCACCACCAAAATGGCTGTCATGAATGCCTAAGGACGATGCTAGGATCTGAGGGTCATAGCATACTCTAATGACCCTTCCTACCGACAAGTGGGCCCATGGCTGAAACAGTGGGAAGAAAAGCTCCGAGGGAGGGAAGACTTGTATTCCACTGTAAGGAGTTACAAAGTAGGTGCTCAGCTAAATGAACCACATAAAACTTGTTAAGGTAAAATTCTCTTCCACTCTGAGAGGCATGATTGAGGAAAAGAAATCTCCTCCCTTCCCAGTGCCACCTACTTTGGGACTGATAGCTTTAGATATCTTGTCAGTGACATTCCTATAAGGCACTATTTCTCACTTACTAGCACTTGCTTGATTTCCCCCTCAACATAACCTCTAATTTAAGGAGCCTTACACTTTTCTCCTGTCCTTGGATTCATGGCTGCCTGCTAACCTGTTAGCTGTTCCTACAGTGCACATGACTGTCATTGTCCGTACATCAGGACAAGTGTCATTTGGCACACTGAAAATGGTGACTTTTCTATGGAGAGAGACACACACCAAAGACTAGAGAAGATAGGCATGTTTTATTTTTATTGTGAGATCCACAAAGTAGTGTTTACTGCCTACTCACAAGAGTTCAGGCTTTAAAGGAATTCAACCACAGCAGATGTTTTTCTGTGCTCTGCTCTGGTGAGCATGGTACTGCCTCCACTACAGAGTATCAGGGAGTTTGGGTTTTGATCTAACATTTAAGCCCATGGCTGTGTGTGTGTGTGTGTGTGTGTGTGTGTGTGTGTGTGTGTGTGTACTGTCGACCTTTTCTTGTATCTCATTCCATTAAAATTTTCCAAAATTCTTCAGGTGGTCTCAAAAAGTGCCCTCTTTTACCTTCCAGACAAGGAGTGGGTTATGCTGCATGTCTAATTCCGTAACACTCATCAAGCTGATGCAGAGTGTGGTACTTTGCTTTTCAGGCATGTAACTCAGATTCTAAACATCAGACTCTGAAGCTAACTTTCATGTCAAAATGTTGTTGCTGCTGGAGTGTTTCCAGGGTGAGCAACAGGACAGGCAGGGCCCAAAGCAGATGAATCTGGTGAGTTCCCTTGGGAGTAGGGTGTTCATGTTTTTCCTGCTCACTTGTACTTTCTGAAATCAGGCCAGGTTTAAGAACCTTGGACATTCCATCTTCCTAAACCTTGGGAGACATTTTTATTCCCCTGAATACACAACAAATTTCAGAAATAGATTTTGTCTCAGGATGGTACAGAGTGGCCACCTAGATAGCATCAGACTAAGAGCCTAGTCACAGCCTTTCATGCACTATACAGAGATCCTGAGAAGTCCCCATGAGATGTGGGCCTCAGATTCTTCATCCATAAAATGGGTTTGATGCAAGTTTTTAGTTATAGGATCAGTGGAATATAAAAAAATGTTTTAAAACACCTAGTAGAATTTCTGACATACTGTATGTGGGATCTGGCTATGGAGCTGGTTCTAGTAGTACCTTGACCTTGAGCTCTGTCACCCTTTATCTGGAATTCTGTGTGTGTTTCCAGGCAAGCTTCAGTTTATAAGGGAACACAATAGATAATCAGGCAAAAATGCTACTCAGTAATAATTAGGTCCTGTGTGTTCTCTACAATAATACTTTTGAGTTGATTAGACACCAGGGAGTCTGTCCTTGCTGGTAATGATTTACTGCTTGTGGAGTTTGGCTGAAGAACATCTATACCATTTTCTCTTCCACTGCAACAATTATTTGCAGTCATATCACCTTGACCAAAAATCTAAGCTGTGGCTCATGAGGTCTGCATGAAAATGATGACTAAATCCCAGGCCAGTCTAGTGATAAGGGCAGCTGAGCATAGTCACAGTTCTAAGAACTTAAGGAAAAGGTACATATCCCAATATTACTAGGATAAACTTGCTTCAGAAAGCAAATAATTGAGAACTAACTGATCCTGCTGAGTCCTAGCATAAGGCAGGAAAGATGCTTGCAAACAGTGAGAAGAGGCTTTAGAAGGAAAAGCACCCTGTCAGGCAGTCATCTGACCTCTTGTGTAACTGGCCAGTGTGATAGGAGTTCATCACATGTGTCTTTTAAGAGTGTCTGAGGCAAAGTGGACTCCTGAGTAATGACTGTCCCCAGGAAAGCTGTCAATTGGGAGCTGTAAGAACCTGGAAAGTGGACACTCCCAGCAGAGAGCAGAGCACTTCATCAGGGATTTTAGGGCTTCACTTCGACTGAGTCATCCTTGCCTCTCAGGAAAACTTCGCAGAAACTGGGGATAAGTCCCCTGGTTCATGCCCTGTGTATGACCACACTGCTCACAGCTGTGCCAGGTGAGGGTTCCTCTCAGCTTCACCCACCACCTCAAAGCACTGCTCAGGGCAGGCTTCCATCCTCTCAGGCCCAAGATATTTTTCATCATCTCAGGCCCAAGTCACCTCATCTGTTCTGGCCACCTTGCAACTGCATTAAATCAATTCCTGCAAAATGAAGTGCAGTTACTCCCAAACATCTAGCTTTTTACTTACCCATGGTACACCCCACACCCTCAGTGCACGATTATATGCCCTGTTGGTCCTTGAAGGCATCTCTCAATTTCTGGGCATTGATGGTACCGCTGGGCTCCATCATCCCATGGGGTAGGACTGATCCTGCTCAGTCCAGTTTATTCATGACTCCTTCACACACACAGGGTCTTACAAGAGACACACATGCAATGCAGGTTTAGGTCAATGTGTCTTAAGCAGATGAATTTTTATTCATAGTAAATTTCCAGGATATAATTTGATAAACCATGCAAATTTAGTTATACACATATTTTAATAGTATATAATAATTAAGAAAAAGAAAGCAGAATAACAAAATGATTTTCTTTCCTATGTGTAAGGTTCCATTTAATTTTCATTAAACGTATTACATATTTCTAAGGAAATTCTTAGTCTATTTCTATATGATGATAAAAATGAAAGGTTTCATATTTTTTGATGAAACAGGAAAGGTTGTTACACTGGGAAAGAAAAAAACAAAATCCATTGTGATCAGTGTCATGCAAAAGCAAAAACACAATGAAACATCAACTAAGAAAAATAGAAACGCATGTGAGATTCATATCATTCTACAATATAGATTTGCAAGGTACTTGAATCTTGCAAAAAGGGAGTAAGGTTTCAAAAGTCATATAGGAAACACAGGTTCACCTCTAATTAACTCAAACAGAATAGACATCCAGTTGGAAGGCTTGGTATTTTACTCCTCCTCTCCCCCTTCATTACTTAGAAAAAGGCCAGCTCTCCAGAAACATAAACTGAGATTGGGCTCCATTTCACATGGGGTAGGAATTAAGCCAGTGACCTTGTTGTGGAACACTCCCTGTCACTGTCACACATCTTACTTATCACAGGGCCTGAATACACACTTGTCCTTTGCTAAAGCCTGATCATGGAGATGTGGCTAAGATCTGGGACATATCAAAAGTTGAACATGTGTTTTAAGACTTTAATCTGGGTGGTTTCAGCATGGGCCCTTGGACCCCACAGGAACTCATAGCAAGCAGGATCACTGTTAGGAACCTGCTGGTGCACCAGGTACCCTTCTCGAACCAAATCCTCTGTGATGAATTTCCAGGGCTCCCCAATAGCAAAGTGTTCTGTCTCACCTAATCCCTTCTTTTCTCTCAGTAGTTCCTTGAGGTCCTCCTCACTGAGCCTGTTGCCCTTTATAATGATTGTACTCAGGATGAGTGTCAGGAGGTCAGCTTTCAGAAACATTTGGAACTTGTTATCTAGCAACCCACTATAAGTGAGGCCCAAATCAGAGACAAGCTCATATGTGCGGCCAGGGGGACCGACTTTCTTCATCTTAATGCCAAAGCACAGATACAAGCACTCACAGAGATTCCTAAATATCACAGGGAAATGTTCATGATAATCACGGTCCACAACATGCAGCATTTCATCCACGGTGATCTGCTCCTTCTTTTCAAACTTCTGGAGCACAAATGGCACCAATTCATCTAACTTATCATTTAGGGACTCATCCTGCATGGCCTGAGGGACATCCTTGTCCTGTGATGGACTAGGACCCTCCGCTCCTTGCTGGATGGGGCCCTCACAAAATTGACTGCTATTACTAAAAGCCATGGCAGTCTGGGGAGAGGAGATATCCTTAGGATTTTGAGGACAGCTTGATTTCCCATGCCCAGCCTCTTCTCCTGGTGTGGCCCTAATTGAAGCAAAGGAGGAAGAGGACAGAGAGGAAGCTGTGGCAACTGCTCCCTCTTCATCCTTGAGACCTTGAACATCCATGAGGACCTGTGCACTACTCTGGCCAGAAGGGCCTGCGCCGAGCTTTGTGTCTTGGCTCACTTGATCATGAGGCATCATGATGTTCTGTGTGGACTGCAAGACTTTAATTCTGAATACTGAGATGCCTAGAGGAGAGTGGGAGACTGTTACTGCTCTGAGTAGAGAATAACAAACATTTTGCCTCCCCAAAGGCCCATTACCGTTATGCTCTTCTCTTTGGGGGATGCTCTATGACTTTACAAGTTTCTGTTTTCATCTATCTTTGTCCCCATGATTTTGGACATGCAGTGAGGCTGTTCCTCAGTCTTCAGTAGAACTGCATAGGACAAGGCTCTCTGGTAGACAGTATATCATATGGAGCCCGGCATCTATGGAGTGCCCTGCTCTTGGGTAGGGGAAACCCAAAGTATGCAGCAAGATATGCACCTCACCTTGACTCCTAACGCTGCCTGGGCCTCCTCTGCTGTGTGAGTTGAGGAGACTCTTTGCAAAGGAACCTTTCACCGTTGGGATCCTCGAGTTCCTGTAAGACACATAGAAGGCCCCTCAAGTTGCAGACCCCAAGCATTGTCGTGATTCCACAGCAATCTCCATGAGAGGTGAGATGGATACATAAGTTGCTTACACTTTTCCGTGAATGATCACCTCTCTGCTCCCTCTAGGCTGTCAGTTCTCTTTGGATGTCTATGTGGGTGTTGGATGGAGGCAAATTAGAAAATGTTTCTTCTTTCCTGAGAGGGCACAAAAGACAAATAGTTGTCTGGGACTCCCCGTGGGATGATCTGAGGACACCTTTTCACAATCACAGACCTATGGCAGCAAAACATTCAAAGAATGGGGGGATCCACTCCATATGTGTTCCCTGGGTCTGATGACACGTGACAAAGCAACAGGTTGAGGCTAATGTGATATGTGTTGAGCTAGGGGCTTCACTTTGCCCTCACTTATACTCACAAGAGGCCTTAGGGTCATCTTTCTCATCCCCTTGCTCTACCTCCCTCCTACCAATGCCTTCAGCTTCCTGAGATCAGAGGTGCAGACTTAAGGGAGCAATCTCAACATGACAATCCTTCCCAGGCTACTCAGAATGTCCAAAAAAGCAAGGTAAAATCTGTGCTGCATCCACAGCTCTGTGTTCATGCCAAGAATTCCCTAAATTCTCCATTATGTTCATCATCTTGACTTTTGTCATATTCTGGGACATCCTGACCAGAGGGTTACCTTTAGTAAAATCTGCACACAGCATCTCAGAGCAAGATCACCAACTCCATAAGATCATGAGGATCCCCAAAGAAGTAAACTGTCAGCCATCCTGTTATCCCCACATGAGTATAACAATATTGACATCAGAATCTGTGCACACTTCACTGGTGATGTGGGATATTTATTATGAATTAAGTCTAGATCTATTCTGAAAGATTCATGGGGGCATAGATAGTGGCAGTGAAAAGTGACAGTGGCAAAGGTTTTTATGCTGTATAAGCCTCCCACAACAGACCTAGGGACCAAATATAATCTGTGGAGTCCATTGATTCTGGAGAGTTGGCACCAATTATGTTCAAGGAACGTCAATAGCACGGACTGAGCAGTCCTTCGTGTGCTACACCTGCTGACCATATGTAGCTCTCTTGGCTGACTTGTGGTTATCCCTTGGATCATATCCTCACTTCCTTATGTCTTCTAACTCTAAAAGATTAACATTAATGTCATCAGCTGACACACAGCCACTCTCAATGGAATACTGGGGTGAGAGTAGGGGAAGCCAAGCTCTGAGCATTCCTTTCTTTGTATGAATGTGGCTAACATTCAGACGTTCTGTGCTGGAAACTGAAGGACTGGTGAGCAGCAGCAGTTCAGCCTCCCACAGACTCAGAATCGAGATTTGAAGAATAACAACCTGAGCAAAGAATAAAAAAGAAACAAATAGAGGAGATAGTGGCAGGGAATCAGGAAGGAACTGACAGTAAAATGGAAAAGTGCTGAGAAGTTAAAGAGACTGAATACTATTTGGAGAGGGAACATTGAAAATTACAAAGAGATTGAAGAGACACACTGAAATGGGGAGAAGGAAAAAAAATCCTCCAAACTTCCTCCCTGGCTCCTGGCTCATGAGACAGGAAGGCGGAAACTGGAGAACCAAAAGGAAATCTGAGGGATATGGAAGGTCCTAGGAAGCACTGGGTCAGTGGCCCACAAGTTTCTGAAGTCTCCGGGCACGGTGTGGAGATTTGTGTGGTAGTTTCTTAAACATAAAGTCTAGCAATTTCCCCAAATGCAGGTGCTGCCATATTCTTCCCTGGAGACAGCACAGGCATGGTAAACACTGGGGAAAAGGTTTATTTGTTGAACCTGGGACTCAGAACATGGATGGATTCACTTCAGCGTTCTCAGTGTTAACTTCCCACAGTGACTATGTGAGTGAAAATCACAGGAAACAGATTTAGACATGGAACAGATTGGAAAAAGACCCCTTAGGGGTTTGAATGAGACTGTGACAGACACAGCTTCACCACTAGCAGTCTGAAGTCAGGCTGAGCCTGAATTCCTCTGGATTGCAAAGTCTTGGAATTAGGTACTTGATCCTTTGCTCCTTTGCCTGTATCCAGCATTAATCTGTGGTCTGGTTGTATTTTTACCAGTGTGAGCAGAAATGATTCATGACTTGGAAACACCACGGCCTGGGAAAAACTTTGGGGCCTCAGAATGTCAAGAACTTTGAGACTCCAAATTTCCACATCCAGAAATTAAACTATCCAGTCATCAACACGAAAAATACTTTTTCTTATTTGCTTTTCTTTTGTCTGATTTTTGCCGTTTTCCATTAAATTTTATATGCATTATTTTAAAAATTTTGTTTAGCCATATAATTTCTAAGATTTTCTACCTCTGTTTCTGCTAATTTCCAGTTCACTTTATTTATTTTTCTCTTACATTTACTAATTGTACAGATGCACTTTTTGTTACTGTTTTGATCATTTGTGTCACTAATTTTCTCCTCTGTCCTGTATCCTAGTGTGTAATTGTTTATATTTTTCTTTGCATTTATCTTTTCCCAAATAGTTATACCACTAATAGTATAATCATTAACCTTTAACAATGTGAAGATAAGTGTAAAATTATGAGTTTTTTTCTACCATTAGTAGTGCTATAGCTGTCACATGTACATATTAATTGTATGTCATTATGTTTAATTAATGTTTGTATTATAATGGTGAACTTTGTTTCTATCATTAAGATTGGTATCAAACTGGCTCATATAGTATACTAGTACCCAATTTGTGTTGGATAATATTGCTTAATTTGCTTGAAATTGCCAGTTGTGTATACACTTTCCATTAATGAGTTTTGGCTGTATGCTGTTACACAACTTATTTTGATATTAACAATACCATTGTCCTTGCCCATAGAACTTTGTGCTAAGCCAATCACTCTGAACACAACACTTTTAAATTAGGAAAGGTAGTTGGATTTTAGGGTTCAATTAAAGGAGTATAATCTGCCTTGCCTAAAATAGATCACTGTAAATTATACTAACTGAAAAGATATCTACCATAATGTCTTTCAACTCTCAGTGTAACAAACTTCAACACACAACAAGCTAAATTTAAAAAGTAAAACAATACAAACACTAAAAGAGCATACAACAGGACTCCCAAGTCTCCCAAAGCAAATTGAGGGGATAGAGAGACAGTACAGCATAAGAAATGCACAAATGTCTTGGAAGGCTAACAATGGAAGGTAGAAAACAAATCTAAGAAATGATAGGTATAATCTTAGAGGATACAATTAAAGAGAAAACAAAAGTAGTAACTAAAACAAGCAGCTTTCTGAACACAATATTAAAACCCAGTTGAGCTAAAGAAAATGATAGCAATCATGAATGAACGCTTGAGCAGAAAAGCAGAGTCTATGTAAAGTTTCAATCAAAAATTGAAGAGATTAAAAACTATCTCAAAACTATGGGCAACAAAGCAACCTATGTGAGGACAGAATTTTAGATTAAGAAAATAGGGATATTCTCTGTGAAACAGTACTCAAAGATATTTAAAATCACCAAGAACTATGAAAAATGGATTCAGTATCTGCTCAAAGACCAAAGAAAGACTAATCTCAGATAAATGAATACACATAAAATTTCAGAAGAGACTATTCATGGCATCAAATACAGTTTACAGAACCAATAGGAGAAAAAACAAAAAATAATGGAAGAGAACTTCTGAAATATTGGTAGGAAATGGACTCCAGATAAATAAGGCATATACAGGAATAAGTAACCAGGACCAAAAGAGAATCTCTCCACATAATATCATTCTCCGTACAACAGAATTCCAGCAGATGTGCAAAACCTTAAAATATGTTAGTGAACATCAATGATATACTTATAACTGTAAAATAAATAAAATAATGGGAAACCTCACAACAATAAACTTATGAGCCAAGAATGTTTGCAGTGAAGTGTTACTAATGCAAAGGATAAAAATTTCTACCCCAGATACATATTTACTGCAGAAGTTTCCTACATAATTAATATAAAAGTAAGTTCCGAGCATGAAAAAAAAGTACCTTAAACAATACATGGCCACCAACCTGGCATTACAAAAAAAAATCTTAAGATCATGTGAGAAAGATGCAATGAAACAATGTCAATAAGCCCAGTAGAATGGATAAACATGGCAGGATGAGCACCTAGGGTAAAGGAAAATTATATAGGGAAATCAGCTACAGGAAATGATGCAAATACAGGAGTAAGTCAATAGCTTTCAGGAAAACCTCACAGTGGGAAAAGTCCCTATTCACAATAGACAGATTGGTACAATGAATCATAAAATGAGACCAAACAATATGGAGTACACATAAAAGATATTTACTTTAAAAATTCATGGATTAGAAATCAAAGGATGGGAAACAATATTAAAGCAAAGGAAATCCAGAGTAAACAAGAGTACCTATCTTAGCTTCAGATCAAATGAATATGAAGACAAAGCTGTACAGAAACGATCATCACATACAGGTTAAAGGAGCAACTCATCAGTGGGAGATACTAGCATAACTACATTCATAGCAATTCCTATAAA